AAATATATGTTAAAAAAACAAAAACGATTTAAATTTTTTTTGTAGTTTATTGCACTTTTTTGCAATTTATGTAATTACTATGCACTTAATGCAGACATATTATTAAAATCTGGGCTATAATGGTTGTATTGATGTATAGCAATTTGAAATGCTCCCAAAATGGCTCCACAGCAGGTAAAAATATAATATAAGCTCTGGCGGACTTGGTTCTATGGTAGGTCTTAAAGGGTTAATAAATTGATCTATGCTTTCATGAATACTCAAACTAATAGAAGTCTAAAAAACTCTCCACTACACAGCAAAATCTCCAGTGTTAAATTAACACTTGAGAGTGTCTATATGGGTCCACACCTCTGAGTGTTAAATACAACACTGTTGAGTGTTAAATTAACACCTTTGACAGTGTTATATGTTTAAAAGTAACCTAGTCAGTTTTGAAGATTAACAATGGCTAACACTGAGCAGTGCTGATTTTCTAACACTGGAAAATAACTCAAAATGTTAGAAATATTCCAGTGACTCACCTGCATCGGGATTCATTCTGAGCTGATTTCAGCTCAAAACGTCCTGTTTCATGTTCAACACATCAGACACACCTGCAGCTAACATAGCTTACCTTAAGAAGGTAAGCAAGCACACCTAACCCTCGTGAGCTGTTATCTCTAGGAGCACTATTAAGTGGGTGAAAGGTCTTGTGTACACACAGAGCTTTATCTTTACCTCAGTTGATCTCACTTGTCCATCCGACCCTGAAAATACCTTGGTCACTCTCCTGATCTGAGGTAACTGAGGATCAACCAGCATCACCACCATTCCAAATATTGATGTCTGGTGAGGAATTTTGACAGTTTCCTTGGGTTTGCAGTCCAAACAAGTTTGCAGTCCAACAATATTTGGGACACACAACTTGGGGTAGTGAGCTATCCAGCTGCCCCACCAACTAGCAACTGCGTGTCAGAGGATCTGCAATGTCTGCTGAGATATTTCCCTGGGGCTTGGAATTCAGGATGACCTCAGTTTCAGTGAGGACAGGCCTTAGGACTTGGTCTTTCACTGTCCCAGAGCCAAAAGTGGTATAAACTGAGGTCTTAACCAAATAAATCTCATACATAAGCTCCCATACTCTGCAAAAATGTGGTGCTGCAGGAGGGTTGGAATGGTAGCTGATCTGCTGCAGGTCAGGACTAAAATGACTGAAGGAATCTTTGAACGCAGTGTCTCCACCACAGAAAATAGTCCCTTGGTTTGTGTGCGTGTGAGTGTGTGTGAGAGTTTGATCAGTTGAAGTCTTTTTTGTGGACTCTGACAGCAGTGGGGAGGAAAGACCTGCAAAATCTTTCCATCCCACACTGCTGTCAGAGTCTCTTGCATGGGGTGGGAGATGTTGTCCAACAGGGATGACAGCTTAGCCGCCATTCTCCTGTCACTCACCACCTCCACTGGGTCCAGAGGGCATCCTAGAACAGAGCTGGCCCTTCTGATCAGCCTGTTCAGTCTCTTCCTGTCCCCAGCAGAGATGCTGCGGCCCCAGCAGACCACACCATAAAAGATGGCTGAGGCCACCACAGAGTCATACAAGGTCCTTAGGAGTGGGCCCTTCCCCCTGGGGGAAAAAAAATGTCCGGGGGGGGGGGCTGACTACCTTAAGGAGAACTCGTGCGTAATCTATATGGAGCTGTCCAGATATAATACTTCTGTTGCTGAGTTTAGGTGGCAAATCTGGAGATCTTACATGAAGTCCCTATCGCAACAAAGACGATCACTTTGTTGTGATGGGGACAGAAGATCCTAAGTGAAACTTTTTTGTGGACACACTGGTTAAGCTTGGAGGAGACTGCCTGACACCAGGCCTCATATTTGAGCCATCCTGACAGGTCAAAGAGGGTATACATTATTCCACATTGGCAGCCCATCTTTCAGCGAATCTCTGATCTCATCTCACCTGGCAATTTACTCAGAAGTAGCTCCAAATGTGACGCAGATGTCAACTTAGTTTCACATTCTGTGCTAAGAGTGTTGAGCATGCGAATGAGAGACCTTATTCACAGGGCAGTTATCTCAAATTCTTTAGTATCTCCCCATCGAATGTCTGGTGAATCCATCACATCAACAGTCATAAGAGCTAGTTTATGCGGTTTGCCATACCTCTTATTCAGAGCAGCCAATGTGTCAGAATCCGGTTGTTCAGTGATGACGCGACGAATCCTACTTCCGGGTCTAAAGTAGTCTGCGTTTAATATGGCTTTTGTGTTGTTAACATGTTTAATGTTATGTATTTTCTTCTATTT